ATCGAATTTTTGACGCGGCTCCATTTTGATTTTTTTTTTTGCCTGGCTGGCTCTGTAAAACATTTAGTACTACACATCCAACGATATCCAATCGTCCCGCGTATCACTCTTATCTCATCACACAGGAAATCGAAGATGTTAACAGTAGTGTTACTGTCATTACCTTCAATTCCTTGCCCCCGTCTCGTCCATGACATAAATCCTTCGTACATAAATATAAAATCATATCTAACCAATAATCTGGATGAGAAAGGTTCGTATAAATACAGTCAAAAAGTTCATGGCCCCCATTTTATTTTGACACGTGTTGATGTATTGGTGTGATGGATCTATGGAAGGTGTCTGACATCTGGATGTAATCCCGTATATAGTGTCAAAAAGTGGACACTATATTGATGTGTTTATTACTGTATTATTATCTGTATTATTATGTATTGTATTATCTAGGTGCTAAATTGTGTACGTATGGGATTGTTAAGGAGACATATGTTATGGAAATTGGGGAGTTCTATTTTTTTTTATTTGTGTGTCTTGAAAACTAATGTTTCGTTTTTTTTTAAATTCTGAATTCAAAAAAAAAATGAATTTTGAGCCAAAAAATCGAGCTGTCGTAAAATTCGGTGCAAAGTCCGCAATTTACACTTTCACGTCAGAAAAGCTAAAAATTCGCTAAAACCAAAGCGGAAAAACTGAATTGTCGTAAGATTCGATGCCGAACACTTTCACGTCAGATTACAGATTTTTTTGACGCTGCGATTCAAAAATCTAGCTGAAAAAAGGACATCCCCAACAAATTGCTCTCTGGGCTTTTGAGGTCACTTTTTCACTTTTTTCTATATCAAAAATCTCCCCTAAAAATAGCAACGAACCTAAAAATGGAATGCTCAAATTGCACGCACTCTCTCTTTTTTCAAAAATCTGTTCTTCTGCAAAATCGAGTAAAACCTTTTTTCTAGGATCCCTGAACGTCGTCCCACTTCCCTTTAATTACCCCCACCGTAATCCAACTCCTTTTTGGTGTTTAACAAAAAACTTCTTTTCCGGAAAAGAAGCAGAAAACCCATTAACCCAGCTCCATCATTCTTGGGGTGCTCCCTCCTCATAAATTGTTCCGACCATCATGTCTACACACTCCTCCTCCTCCTCTTTCTCCGCAACCGTCCCCCCTTTAGGCTCCGCCCCTTTAGGAGAGTGACTCCTCCCCAACCGATTGCTTCCTCATCTTTCTTTCCGATACATACCTTGATTTCAATAATAATATTTGTTGTGACATGATTTTTTGTGTTTGTATGTTGTTGGTATAGATTGTAATAACTAAAGTGACCCATGTTAACACAAAAAAAGTGACTGACACAATGCCATTTTACACTTTTACCTAACTGAGATGGTGTCTTCTTCTCCTTTTTCCTTTCTACATCATCATCTTCATCATCATCATTCGGCCACTCTTGTGTGTGTGTGTATACCACCGCTTTACAACCGTTTTTCTCCCCCTTCGGACAACAAAAAGAGGCGAGAGGAGAGACATGCCATTTTAAACTTCTTCTTCTTTTTTTGTATTCCCGATATACAACGACGTTCTGACCATTACCTAATTGGACTTAATGTTTCATTCTTAGGGTTCGCGCAGTAGGAGAAGCTAGCAACTTCTTTGTCTTTCCCACTGGCGCCGCCTTTGTTTTCTGTTCGGGTCACTGTGGGTTTGCTTCTTGTATTCTACTTTGTGAATCAGTTTAAGATTGTGGTCAGTTCTTTCTTGTCATCATGTTTCTAGACCGGGAAGTGATCGATTTCTTATTTTTAGATTTTTCTGATGGGTACTTTTTTTTTTAGGAAATCTAGGCTAGGCTCGGGTCCTTAGATTTTTGAAAAAAAAAATCTAGGCTAGGAAGAACTGTGACAAGGCCTAAAAATCTAGAAACTTGAAGAAAAATTTTAGTTTTAGGCACCAAAACTTAGCAAGAATTTTTCCTGCCATCTAGGTTCTGCAATTTTTTCATGCACAGTTTCTAAGGGCCCTAATGAGAAATCAGCAAAAATTTTGAAAATTCTCAGGGAACCATTTCAGGTAACCCCACAGTTTTTACAAGTTTGCAGCTTTCATTCTGACATATTAAGGATTTTTTTGAATGAGAATTTTGTGTAGTAAAAATCCTAACTTGCTCGTCATGCCTATAGTGAATGGCAGGCTGGCTAAAAGCTTCAGAATATCGGAAGTTTAGGTAGCTCAAAAATTCTGAGAATTCACAGTTTTCATTCTTACCCAATGATAATTATGTAAAAAATATCTAGCTTGCCGAAGCGCCGTTGGCGCGACATGCATGCTTTTAGATTTCTTGGCAATGTGTTTTTAGGCTCCTGAATTTGTATAGCTTCAGCTTTTAGGACCATACGCTTCCAGTCCTTTTTTTCTGGAATTTTGAGATTTAGCCCAGATTCTTTCCCTAATTTTACTCCATTCCCAGAACATGGGATATTTCAATTTGGAAATTTTTTGATCTACCCAACCATATTCAAATTTCTAGGGTTCTATACTCTCTTAATGACCGGAATCTGAATCTCAATCCAAAGCCAAAATTTCCAATTTTCCAAAATCAAAAAATCCTCTTCCAAGAGTTTCTTTCCTGCCCCACCCATTCTTCCATTTGTTTCTATTCGCAATTTCTTCGTGCTCATTCATTTCCCTTCTTTTCCCCCCTGAAACTCTGGGACACAAATTTACAACCATCCCCCATGTTTGCTCTTTCCTTTCGTCAGGATTTCATCAGAATTTTCTGAATTTTTGGATCTTTTTCATCAATTTCTTTGACTGGAACGGTTCGGTTAATTGTTTATCTTTTGTCATTTTTCTCTCAATCATCGCTATCATATCTTCATTTCCTAACATCATCAATTTGTTCTTTTCTTCTCAATTTCACCAGAAGAATTGTAGAATTGTATCAATGCCTCCTTCAAGAATACCAAACCAAACGTTCACATTTTTTGCGCTTCACCTCTCCCTCTGCTCCTAGGCCCCGCCCACATATTGCTTCCGCGTTTATTGGCCGATGGGCGGAGCCTCCCCCGGAGGGAAGGGGAGGCCTCGTCGCCGGCGGGCAGAAGATCGAGATTGCTCAACAAGTTGTTGAACATAAGGTCCCCCCCCCTCTCCTTCAACGAATTTATCAATCAAACTTTTTTTCTTTGCTGTTTCACATTCCCCTCCTCCTTTCATTTTCCAAACTCCTCCTTATCAATACACTCCGTTTCGTCGTCGTCTGATCCTTTCCTCCTGGAAGAACACAGATAAGAAATTTGTGTTCATTTCGATGTTTTTTGCAGATCGATCATCAATAAACATTTATTCTCTCATCTAACACACCTTCCACAGCTACTACCATTATGATGCCTCATGTCAGTCAGGTTGGTTTTTTTTTCTAGGGTCCCCTGGTGGGTGCAGGGGTAGATCAAAGGGGGTGTACGGTATTAGTTTAGGGTTTTCGGTGTTTTTGGAGAGTTGGGACCTGGTCTAAGGGGGTCTAAAAGCTAGCTGGATTTTAGGAATCCTAAATTTTTGAAAAATCAAATTTTCGAAAAAAAATTTTTGTTGTTGAAAAATCAGGCCTATAAGATCAGTTAGATTCGAATGTTTTTGGAGATTTGAGACCTGTAAAAAATGGTACCGGTTTGATGGCTCAGTAGGTCTAAGGGGGCTAGAAGCTAGCTGATTTTAGGAATTCTAAGTTTTTGAAAAATAAATTTTCGAAAAAAAAATTTTTTTTTTTTTTGAAATTTTTTTTTGAAAAATCAGGCCTATAAGATCAGTTAGATTTGACAAAACTACGTCTATTAGAATGGCATTTCAGAACTTGAATATAGCGAAATTTGCCTAGACCACATTGAAAAGAATTTTTTTTGTACTAAAACAGGATTCATCACAAAAAAAATTAGGATTTTTGAATTTTTTTCCCTGATTTTTCCCCAGAATCTCGCTCCCAAAGTGCCCTGAACCCTTTAAGGTTGCCTAGGTAAAATGTACATACAACCACTTGAGCCCCCTTCCACTTGACATCCAAACTTCTTCTAGGATGAACCCTCTTCCACTGCCGCCACCCCAGTACCACCACCACCACCACCACCTGCAGAAGTCCTTCGAGGAATGCTACCACCAAATCTACTCGGTCAATTCCAGCTCCATCCCTCCATGGCCGCTCAGTTCCTTCAAGCACAGGCAGCAGCCGCTGCGCAGCAACAGAGTCTCGTGTTCTCCGGAGTTCCGATTTTCCCACCTGGGATCCCCGCGGATTTTAAACCAGAACTTCTGATGGCCGGTGGTGGTCCTGCACATCTTCCATTCCTGGCTCAACACCTCTATCATCCATATGGAATGGATGGGATGAAGAAGCGGAATGCGACGAGGGAAGCGACAGCTCCATTGAAAGATTGGCTCCATAATCACAAAAAGAATCCGTATCCGTCTAAACAGGACAAGTTGGCACTGGCCATGTTGACCCAAATGACATTAACACAGGTTGGTTGGTTTTTCTGGGTTTTTCACACGACACTCTTTAGTAATAAGCACCGTAATTTACTCCAATGTTTGCTCTTTTTATTAGCTCCTCCGCCAATTTGGCCCTGGCTGTGGATACAAAATCATCACTACCAAAACTGATTCCCCGCAGTGTTATTGTAACAATAGTAGCCTCCTAGTGTGTGTTGTCTCTGACCGATGCCACCAAAAAAGGGAGAAAGAGAAAAAAAAGATGTCGAGAGGCGATAAGCGATGATGACACCTTCGAGGGAGTACTACTTAATTAATGTGTTTCGAGACAAGAATTGTTTCAAAACCCCCAATGGAATTACATATTGACAATAGATAAAACAACCTTGGCGCCAAAATGAGATGTTGAAAAAAAGAAAAGTTTTTGAAAAATTTTGGGAGATCTTTTGGAATAGGCAGCGCCTTCAAAAGCGGGCGCAAGGGGCTTATATGTACGCCCTCTCCCTGTCAAACCGATGTTGCGTGCGTGGTGTAGTGGGTAGTGCTCCAGTTTTGTAACTTGTGGGCGCGGGTTCGATTCCACTCGGGCTTAAATTTTTTTTGCTTTTTTCTAGCCATTTTCGACAACTTTCCAGGTCTCCACATGGTTCGCCAACGCGCGACGACGCCTGAAGAAGGAGAACAAGATGACGTGGTCTCCACAAAACCGGCGAGGCGACGGAAACGACGATGAGGACGATGACTACGACGATGATATGAATCGTCCATCCAGCTCCACATCCATGAATTCCGAGAGGAAGGGAGAGTCACTATTCGGAAAAGCTCATCTGGCCTCCCCAACGCCTTCAGGTGGATCCGGTGGATCCGACGACCTGTTAACACCAAAGAAAGAGCAACTGTCACCAATTCCAACGGACGATTCGGAGAGCCCAAAACGGAAACCAAAAATGTGGTCGATCGCCGATGTCACCTCAGACGACGACTCATCAAAGAAGGTGAGTAGTGTCATCATAAATCGAGAGTGTTGTATAGATTTTATAGTTTTACGAAATGGACTTAAAAACCAATTCAGTTTGTATATATACAAACAGAATCTCGTCGTGTAGGTGCACATTTTATCGAGATGTAAACTAGTATGAATCATTTGTGTGTGAGTGTGTGTGTTTGAGCAAACTGACTGAGTGAAGCCGACAAATGCCGCTTTAACAACAAACATTATGAATGGTTTTATACATCTTCTACTTTTTCTACTTCATAAAGTTCAATTGACTGTGAGAAGTATTGTTGGGAAGTATAAGGAAAAATGATTTCAAAAAAAAAATCCAAAAAAATTCCAGGACTCGCCACCATCATCCGACGAAAACCAGTCGTCGACACCCAGCGGCATCCTCTTCCAGAACACAATGAAGAAACAAATGGAGATAATGGCACGAATGGATCCGAACTTCTTCCGGCAAGCCATGAACCCATTCATGCTCCAATTCCTCGCCGCCCAATCCCATCAGTTCCCCTCCATGCTGGTGGCACCACCCCAAACGACGTCGCCAATCGAAGCAGGTGAGCAGGTGAAGGTGAGCAGGTATATTATACTTTCTCTACTTTTTTTCTCTTTTGAATTTGAGAAGAAGGGGGCTGCCATCGATTTCTTATCTTTTTCTCTCAATTGGGGCATTCCCAAATTTTGATTGACAGTTTCGTGAACACCGTGCGTGCTTGTAAACTATAATCCGCTTAATTTTTTTTCTCCCCAAAGTTTTTATGTGACGCTTCGCTTTTCTGAAGGTTTTCTGATATAGGGCAAAGTTTTCGTATAAGCCAATTATCATTCAAAGGGAAACCAAAAAAAACCTTCTGGAGCAAGAACATTTTTTGTTGGTATGTAATGTAACTTTGTTCGAAACGTCGCTTTCAACTCAAAAGAGGGCTTAGGAAAGTGTCATTGACCCCACGGATTAGTGTGCTCTTTTTTGTCAAGAAGCGCGTGTTCTTCTTCTAAAGGGGGCTGCTCCTTCGGAATGATAAATGGGCGATTTGATCCGTTCGTATAGTTGATGGGAAACATTTTTTGTGCTCCGGAAGCGAACAAAAAAGAACATATAGTTATGAAATATATTGGTTTTTGGTTGTCAAGGGGAAAACGCATTTTTTGAGTTTTTTTTTCGAAAAAAAATTAGAGCCAACTGTCGTAATTTAAAATGCCACGTACGCAATTCGTGGGAGGCGCCGCCACGTCAGAATGCACAGTTTTATAGAAACCGCAATTTTTCTGGGGAAATTAGAGAAATAATTGTGGAAAATAGCAAGAAATTAGTATTAAAACAAATATTTCTGAAAAAAAAGCACAAAATTTAAACACAAAACACCTTTTTTTTTCATCTACCTTTATCCGAAAATTAATTAGAGCTGACTGTCGTCGTTTAAAATGTACTGTACGCATTTTCCGCGTGACACCGTCACGTCAGAATGCACATTTGAGCGAAAATCCTTAATTTTTTCAATTTTTCAGGTCTGAATTCGCAAGCGGAGACATCGACTCCATCACCAGTGTCCTCTCCCACCTCGTCTCCTCGGTCCCACCAAGAGTAGAGACACCAGTGTGCTGAAAACTTTTTTTTCAATTTTTTTGAACGGTTTTCTCGTTGAGAAGACTGTGTCCTTTAAAATATATTTTTGGTCTACGGGTCCCAGAATTTCATTTGTCGATTGTTGTCGATTATTTTTTTGGTCTCTTTCTCTCTCTCTCTCTCTTCCCTATTTTGTACAGTATTTCTTCATTTTCCCCCTTCTATCCCATCAGAATTCATTCGGTTAATGTAGCACAATAGGCTCTCTTTTTCATGCAAAAAATCTCATATATTTTTCTAATTTTTCACAAGTTTTATATAAAGTTCCATGACTTTTTAAAGTTCTTTTTTCCCTTTCTTCCCCTCATTTCACTCCAGTTCTCTTCTTCAATTTTCACAGGATTCATCTAGTTTTTTGAGCTTATGATCGGTTCTCTTTTCCCGCAAATAATTACTTTTAGACACACTTTTCGCTTTTGAAATCTCTTTTTTTGTTCTTTGGCTTGACAATTCATCTCATCTTGACAGTTTTTTTCACTACCGCATAATTTAGAAAATAAAAAGGTTTTAATATTATAAAAAGGAAAGTGGTTTTTGTTTTGAAGGGGGGAAGCACTCAAAAGCGATGAATATCTCAGTTGTTTTTAAAGCTATGGAAAAGTTGTCAACTAGTAAAATGTTTGAAATGTCTTGAGAAACATTTTTTCAGTTCACCACTTTTTGAAATTCTCAAAGGCAACCGAGATATACCATACTTGCAACGGGCCGGGCCGGGCCGGGCCGGGCCGGGCCGAAGTCCCAATATTCTCGGCCC